TTAGATAGTTAACTGTGGAAATGGGTGGAGATTAAACTTAAAAGCAAAAGGCCCTGCATATGGGCACTGGATTCCAGCTAGCAAAGTGGTTGTCCATGCTCTCAAAGGTTGTCAATTCCAGTTCTGCTAAATTTGTATAATGGAAATGAACAATAAAGCAAACAAAGAAATGGAGACAGGTAGACAGGTTCTTCTTCACCACTGCAGGGAGTTTCCAAATAAACAGGGGAGAAACCAGAATGCTGTATATCACTATCAGTATTATACCAGTATGAGTTCATATTTACTTTAATATAGATACACATAGGTATGCAGATACACACACACACACACACACACACACACACACACACACACAGAGATATATCTAAATCTCTATACACAAATGTATTTTTCACATGAGAATTAATGACATTCCATTAGCAAGTCCACCTAGTACCCAGACCTTGGCTTCTTTCAAAGTATACAGCTCAAGTAGACCTTGAACTCACAATTCTCCCGTATCTGCCTCCAGAGTGTTGGGATTATAGGTATATGCCATCACTCAGGGTCAGACCTGGCTTTCCAGTAAAAGTTCCAAGCATTAGGAAACCAATTCCTTGATGAAATGGCTGGTTCTTGATAGGCACTCTACAAGAAGGACCTGGCACATCTTCTAGAGACATGCTTTTTAAAAAAGAAACAAACCACATTCATAGGAACTTATCAAAGGGACACAAGAAGCCAGCTGCAAGGCTTTGAGCTTCAGATGGGTTAGATTACAGCCCAAAGGATATGGAAAGTATTCAGGAGTTCAGATTGATAAGTAAATGCCCAAGCAACTAAGTGAAGGAAAAGAGAAAACCTCCCATGAGTCTGATAACCCTGCTGATGTGGTGTATACTGTGACCTGGGATGGAGAAGCCACTGTGCCCTGGTCATCTTCCAATCCAAAGCTCACAGTGGCTGTGTTTCCTTGTCTTGTGGCAGTGTCTGTCCTGGCTAGTTTTATATTCAAATTATAAATGACACACAGTTGTAGATAAATACCCCCCCCAGGGATGGGGAGGGGTCGTTAAGTCTGGACTAATTAAATACAGGCTGCGTTAGGAGACTCCTTCCCAGGGGGAGGGAATGAAAAAGTAGAGACCAGGAACTCAGCAGCAGAAAAAACAGACCAATGCTATCTCAGCCAGTGATCAAGATGAGTCTGATATCCCTGGGGATGGTTCTGGTGGTTCGTGCTGTGACTTGTGATGGAGAAGGCACTTTGCCCTGGTCATCTTCCAACCCAAAGCCCACAATGGCTGTGTTTCCTTGTTTTGTGACCGTGTCTGTCCCGGCTAGTTTATATTCAACTAGACATCAGAGAGAAGGGAGTCTCCGTCGAGAAAATGCCTCCATAAGATCAGGCTGTAGGCAAACTTGTGGGGCATTTTCTTAACTAGTGATAGAGGTGGGATGGCCCAGCCCATTGTGGGTGGGGACACCCCTGGGCTGGTGGTTCTGGCTTCTCTAAGAAAGCAAGCTGAGCAAGCCAGGGGGAACAAGCCAGTGAGCAGTACTCCTTCGTGGCCTCTGTATCAGCTCCTGCCTCCAGGTTCCTGGCCTGTTTGAGTTCCTGGCCTGACTTCCTTCAGTGATGAACAGGGATGCGGAAGCAGAAGGCAAATAAACCCTTTCCTCCCCATCTCGCTCTTCGTGGTGTTTCACCACAGCAATGGTAACCCTGACTAAGTCAGGGACTCAGTATGTAGCCAGACTGGCCTCAAACCTGCCGTCTTTCCGCCTGAGCTGTCCTAGTGCTGGGATCTGAGGTGTGCGTAATTACAGCCTACCCCCGGGACAAACAAAAGACAAATTCAAAGGGGAAAAGCGTGTTATTAACTTGTATGGCCAGGACTCCTCAAAATGGTCAAAGTTGTCAAAATAACCAAAAAAAAAAAAACAAAGATAATATGAGAAAAGATCAGAGTCAGCCTGAGCTGAAGAGACCGTGACAATCAAATGTGACTAGTGTTCTGACTAGTAGAACCCTGAGACAGAAAAAACAGATTAGATAAAAACTAGGGAGGGGCCGGAGTGTGGCTCAGTGGGAGAACTATGTGCATGAGACCTTGGGTTCAATCACCAAAAACAAAGGGAAAAAGACAAGTAAACAAAGTATGAGCTATAACTAATAATACAACACCAATAACGACCCATCAATTGCAGCCAATACAACTTAGGATGTTACCAGGAGACGCTATTATAATCCCTGTACCACTGCTGCATTTTTCTACCATCTAGCTTACAGACTATCAGTAATCATTTATTATTATTATTAGTGTGTGTGTGTGTGTGTGTGTGTGTGTGTGTGTGTGTGTGTGTGTCTGCACTCACACGTGTGTTCAACTGACCCAGGAGCTTGCCATTTGAGGTAGACTGGCTGGCTAGCAAGTCCCTGGTATCCACCCTCCGCCGCCCCCCTCACTCACTCCTGCACTGGGACTGCAGAGGCATGCCCAGCTTTTTATGTGGGTGCTCAGGATCTGAACTCATCCTGGATTGGCAAGCATTATACCCACCTAGCCATCTCCCCAGGCCCTAGGGTCTGTTTTAAAAGCCCATTTTGGAATGTATCTGAAGATGCTGCAGTGGGGACCTGAAGAACCCCCCACTTTCTTGTAAACACTCAGTTCACATTGTTTGCAAGGACTCCACTACAGTGCGTCTTAAGAAAAATATTTTCAGTTCCTCACAGCTGCAAACAATTTGGTGCAGCAATTCCCAGCAGGGATGTACCGTATAGCCAGAGCACTTTGGCTAAAGTTCCATCCCTTCCTCTCTGCCACCCCTGCAGATGTCTGAAAGTTTATAAGCTATACTTAGGTTGTTTTGCACTGAGACAAAAACTACCCAATGTGCTTAATACGACTTGGAAAAGCCAATCTAAAATTTACACAAGTGAAGTCTGTGTTAAAACTCATCCAATAAAACTTCGAGGAACAAAAGCTCTTTGAACCTGGCATTTGTACTTTCCTAAGCAAACCAGCCTCAATTCAACGTATATTTTAAGATAAAAACAGGTGGGTGAAGAGGAGATTCAGGGGAATAAAAAGGAGTAGATAAAGAGACGTGTAGTGTAAGGTTTGAAAATGGGATGAAGGTGTGAAACACAGCAAATTAGAGAAAGCACTGAAGGCGGAGGGGAGCGGCGTATGTCACAAAGCCACAAAGTCCTGGAGCCTGAAAAGAGTGAGTGTAGACTAAATCAGACTAAAGCTAGATATACACACAAAATGAACTCTCTACCTCTGAACACAAATAAGCAAAGTGTTCCAAATTAAACACCAGTTTCCTGTTAGGGGATTTTTTTTTTAATCATCCTCAATACAAGTTCACTTAAGGCATTTCCCACTGTTAATAAAAGGCCAGCTTGCCAATTAGAACAACACTCAATGACACTTTGAAAGTGAAAGAAAGTTACAAAGTGCACATCTCAAATACTGTGAGCAACACTTAGCTCAGAACAGTAGGAATTACAAGATATTTTCTTTCCCTTCTTTTTCTGCTATGAGCAAAGTGACTTGTGAATGTTTGCAAAGTCTTAATCTACTATAGTGCAGGAAAGGCTTTCTACGAGCACACACTCACTAGCTGTGGCACTCGGTACACACCATCTATGAGACAAGTCTACACAGACCCGTTTAACTTTCAGATGGTGTGAGCCCATCAGCCACAGATTTTCCACACCACCAAACTAACAACTACAGAAGCATGCCCAGAAACTTCCGATCCCCAATTTTAAAAACAAGGAAGAAAGAAAGAAATCTTTACTGGGTGAGGTGAGATGTCATTGACTTTAATTTCAATAGACTAGCTGTCCCAAGATCTACAATTCTACACAAGAGCGCAGGCGGTCCCGAACCCAATGAGCTGCAGAATAGCATCCTTTTAAAGGAGAGAAATTAGAAACAGCCCACAACACAGTTACTTTGAGGTTTTTGTTGTTGTTTAACATAAAAAAGCCTTCCAGGAATCCTAATTCCACCTCCTACTCAAAGTGGCAAAACCAAGTAAAAATTCAAAGTACTCACACGTGTCTGAACCAAGTTGAATCTGAACTTATCTTATTCGCTATTTTGTCTCTCTCTCCTACTGTCTGAGGCAAGAAGTGAAACCTTGAAAAGAAAAGCAGCCATGCATTCGCTGAAACATTGGCTCGGGAAGCCTCCTCTTCCACTGCCTCGCCGCTCCAAATGTCTCCGGATTTCAAGCCCAAACACCAGGGATTCCTGCCCAGGCGAGATGCCAGCAGCACTTGGGGTTACAGTGGGATGAAGAGGAGGATTTGAGCAGCAGGGCTCAGAGAACCGTGCAAAGACTTTGCATGTGTATTGTAGTCATTGAAAAGAAAGGAAGGGGTGAGACTTGGGGAGCCTGCAATACCTCTCAGTGGGTGTGGAACCCCTCCAAAGCCCTAATGACAGCAATAGGAGAGGCCATCTTCCCCAAAGTAAAATGGTGTTGGAAAGTGATCCAGAATTTACAAGTACTCAAACAGAGCGAGCTACCTCAACTGGAGGTGTAGACCAGGGCGGGTCCCCATCTCTAACGGGTCTCCTGGGGGGAGTCCCCACTTGAGCTGGGGCGAGAGGCTCTCTCAAAGCCCCAAGTCTAAGACATTAAGGTACGGTCTGCGTCCAGGTGTGCCGATCTCAGGTGCGCCCCGCGCAGCCTAGGTGAGCGTGGGGTCTGGGGGAGCCCTGGGCTCCTACCCCGACGGAGCAGGTCGCGGCGGGCTCGGGTCTCGTGGCTCCGGAGCGCGCGGAGCAGGCTCGGGGACGCGCTGGGGCGGCAGCGCCCTCGCACACCTGGCCGCCGACACCAGTTGCAATGGGTCCAAGTGAACCGCGGCGGCCGCCGAGCCTGGCACCGCTCCGGTCCCGGCGCACAAAGGCGCTTACGGAAAATCGAGAGGGAGCCCATGCCGCGGGAATCCCACCCGGGACCCGCACCGGTGTCCGAGGGGCTCTTACCTTGGATCCGCCCTCTGAGCCGCCGCGCTCCTCACGGAGTGTCGCGACCTCCCCAGACACGAGGTGGCGGGTGGTCGGGAGAGAAAGAGCCTCGAGGTGGAGCGCCCACCGCGCCCCGCTGCAGAGTCGCCGCTGGGGCTTGCCCGGAG